GTGTGCCCATTTAGTCTCATTTTGTTTTATGGGCCTGTCTAATCTTTGGCTGAAGGGTGAACCTCAGGAGTGACTTCATTACTGAGCTAAAAGGGTGTCCGGGGACCATACTCTTGGGGTTTTGATTTCATATAGATAGTTCTTAAAGAGCATAATGCTCAAGGCAGACCTTTTTTACTATTTAAGCTATACTATTGTTTGGTTTTAAGAAGACTTCAGCAGATATTTTTGGTTTAAGGTTTAAAGATGATCTCAGGGCAATAGTTACAGGCCTCATGTTAACTTATCTAACGAGTCACTGAGTGCAAATGGTTAACATACTCAACTACTAACTGAAAGGTTAGTGGTTCAAATCCACCCAGAGGTACCTCAGAGGAAAGTCCTGGTGATCTGTTTCCAAAAAATCAGCCATTGACAATGCTGTGGAGCACAGTTCTACTCTGACACACGTAAGGTCACCATGAGTTGGAATAGACTCGATAGTAACTGGTTTTTTGTTTTTTTTTTTAATTGTGCTTTAAGTGAAAGTTTACGATAAGTTAGTCTCTCATACAAAAATTTATACATACATTGTTTTGTGATCCTAGTTGCTCTCCCTATACTGTGCCAGCACACTCCTCCTTCCCACCCCGCATCTCCCGTGTCTACTTAAACTGGTTTTTTTAAAAAAGTTAACTTACCTAATAACATCTTCAAAGCCCCTGTTCCCAAACATACAGTACCAGGGGTTAGGATTTCAACATATCTTTTAGGGGAGGGCATAACTCAATCCTAACCATCTCTAAATAACTTTCTTATAGTGTGATTTCTTGGAGATGTTTTCAGTTTTGAAAACCAGTTCTCGACTTCCTGCCTTGGGAGGTGAGGGTTTCGCTCTCTTACAGCATTCCCACCTCCCAGTCCCCTGAGGTACACACACATGCTTCCCCTCCCCTTGTTTTCCCACCATTGTTGTTGGGCACCATCTAGTCGATTCCGACTCGTAGCCACCCTGTGTGACAGAGTAAAGTGCCCCATAGGGTTTTCTAGGCAGTAATCTTTATGGGAGCAGATTGCCAGGTCTTTCTCCCACAGAGGCGCTGGGTAGGCTCAAACCGCTAGTGTTTTAATCTTGGTGTAATAGTCATCTATTGCTGTGTAACAAATTACTCCAAAATTTAGAGATTTAAAACAACTCTATACATTTATTATCTCAGTTTTTGTGGGTCAGGAATTGGGGAGCAGCTTAGGTGGGTGGTTCTGGCCCAGGTTTTCTCATGAGGGTACAGTCAAGATGTTGGCCAGGGCTGCAGTCATCAGAAGGAGGATCTGCTTCCAAGATGGCTCCCTCACACAGTGCTGGCTGTTGGCTGGAGGTCTCAGTTCCTCCCCCCATGGGCCTCTCCATGGGCTGCTTGAGTGCCCTCGTAATGTGGCAGCTGGCTTCCCTCAGAGTGAACGATCCAAGAGAGAGGAACCAAGGAGGAAGGAGAGTCAGGAATAGGAGGAGGAAATGGAATGTTTGGCTAATTGCCTCCATGAACAACTACCTCCTTTGCCATGAGACCAGAACTGGGTGGTGCCTAGCTACCATTACAGAACATTTTGATGAAAGAGTCTATGGAAGAATCCTGATCGAAAGGGGGGAAATACAGAAAAGAATTTCAAATTGTCATGGAATCTGGATTTTCTGGAGCTCTTGAGTCTGGATAAACACCCGAAGCTACTGCCGTGAGATAATCTTTAAACCTTAAACCAAAAACATCCCCTAAAATCTTCTTTAAAGCAAAGAGTAATTTAGCTTAATTAGTAAAGAATGTCTACCTTGAGCCTTGTGCCCTTTTAAGAACTATCTCTATGAGGCCCAGTTGACAATAGTAACTCAGAAGATTAGATAGGAAACTTAGGGGGCAGTGAGTTTATATCGATGGGGGAGGAATAATTCAGAAAAGGAGGGTGATAATGATTGCACAATTTGAAGAATGTAATCAATGTCACTGATTTGTATGTGTAGAAGTTGTTGAATTGGTATAAATTCTGCTGTGTATATTCTCAACAACAATAAAAAATAAAATAAATTCTTTAAAAAAAAAACAAGATGTAGTCCAGGGCTGCAGTCATCCAAAGGTTTGGTTGGGGCTGGAGGATCTGCTTCCAACATGACCCCCTTACAAGGTGCTGGCTTTTGGCTGGAGGCATCAGTTCTCCCCACATGGGCCTCTCCACAAGCTGCTTGAGCACCCTCCCAACATGGCAGCTGCTTCTCCCAGAGGGAACAATCCAAGAGAGGGAGCAAGGAGGAAGCCACGGCATCCTTTATGACATTTAGCTTTGGGAGTCACGTACCATCACTTCTGCTAGATTTCTTTGTTAGGAACAAGTCACCAAGTCATGCTCAAGAGGAGAGAGGTTAGGCTCCATGTTTTGAGGGGAACAGTGTCAAAGAGTTTGTGGACATATTTTAAAACCTCTCAGGAGAGTGGAGAGGGCAGGAGCAGAGGCCCAGGGTGGGAGCAAGTGTGGCAAGTCCATGGGCTGGTGTGACTCAGTATGAGGGAGAGTGCCGGTGAGCCACTGGGAAAAAGCCTGGGTGGAAAGTGAGAGCTAGGCCGAGGAGTAGGGAGCCTGGGAAGGCTTTTGAGCGGTGGCCTGGTGCGGTTAGGGTTGGAGGAGGAAACCCCTCCCCTTGGTACAGGCGGAGCAGGGCTGATGGCCTGGCTGGAACTGACGGTTGGAGCTACTGTCTTTGCCCCAGGGAGTTACCCTAAGCCAGGCTCACTTGCACCCACTCCCTGGTGCCTTCATCACCTGGGGCGGGGTGGGGGATTCTGGACCCCTCCTGACCTTGGCTACTTCTCCGCAGAGCTGGCAGCCCACGGGGACCTAGTGCAGAGCACCGTGTGGAGCCGGGACGGTGCTCTCCTGGCCACAGCATGTAAGGTGAGCGGGCGGCGGTGCCTGGGGTCACAGTCAAGGTCATTCGGGCACTGAGGGCGTGCCTCTGGGGAGCCCTCCTCTAGGGGAGGCCGTCCTGTCGGGGAGCACAATCTATTGGGGAGCCTGTGCTGTTGGAGAACCTGTCCTTTTGGGCGCTTGTGCTGTTGAGGGGCATAGTCTGCCACCTCCTGCTGGCAAAGTCTTTCCTGCTTGCTGGTCTCCTGCCACCAAGAGCTGGAAGTGACCAGGAGGTGGCCATAGCATAAAGGCCATGGAACTGCCTGTTTCCTGGTGGAAGATCTCTCCTGCGGACCCAAAGAGCCTGCAGCTGGGGGGACGAGAAGCACAGATGTCCAAATGGGTCACTGGGGGTGATGCTCAGTGGAGACACCCCCACACATAGGCTCCCAGATTCAGGCGTTGCACCTGCAGGGACGTAGCAGCATGTGATGCTCTGGATGGGGTTGGTGCGAGGTGTCCTGGAGGCGCCCTGTCCTTCCTTGCCACTTCCTCTCCAAGCCGGCCCCCTCAGTGTGTGCTAGGACTGATGGGGCCATGGCCACGTGTTCCCTGTGACGCCTCCTTTGCTGTAAAGGGGATTCCTTGGGATCCAGGTTGGGTGGATCAAACCCGGAAGTTCTCAGATAACTGAGCAGGGACAGGGGCGTCTCATGTGACTGCAGATCAGGTGGAGGTGCCCATAGGTTTGCAGGGGCTAAGGGACACCGTTCAGTTTTATGAGGGTCTTCTGAGCATGTGGTGGAGCTGATGCCTGGATCCCAGCCCCTCAGCGCAAGGGACCCTGAGCCCCTCTTTGCCACCGGTCGGCCCTGCTTTGCTCTGGGCTTCCACAGGGAGAGGGGTTCCCAGGGCCACCTGGCTGGGGAGAAAGGAGTGGGATTCTCCTGCCAGAGCTTCCCCTCCCTCTGTGCACCATCCCCTCGCGGGAGGTTCCTGGTCTCAAGGAAGCCTCCCAGCCTGGTGTTACTTCTGCCTGTGTAGGCGTGGACCCCCATTCTCTGCCCAGGCTCCAGCTCAGGGGCTTCCCGGGCCCTAGTTGCGGTGGGCGGCCGCTAGAGGGCGTTCCAGCCTTCTGCACGGCCTGGACGCTGCTGCTGAACTCAGGTTTCTTGTAGATCCTGCAGCCAGCTACTGCCTGTGGGTACTGTTTATACCTGCATCGAGCGTGTCCCCCACACGCAGGAAGTCCTGGGTGGGAGGCCGTCTGGCTACACTGCTTCTCTCCAGCCCTGCTTTTCGAGGCATAGAGGGGCAGGGAGGGGTTGCCTGGCTGCCAACAGAGACACAGTCCTGCCCAGAGCCCCTCCCTCTGCCCCAGATTTTTACCACGTCCCAGGGGATGGGCTGTGGTCCTTGCCTCGCAGAGCAGCCGCAGTGAGGGCAGCCTGCCTGTCTCCCACTGGCCTGTCTCTCTCTGTTCCCGTCTCTCTGTCAGTCTCTGTACATCTCTGTCTCTCATTGTCTTCTCTTTGTCTCCTTCTGTCTTCTGTCTCTTTCTGTGTCTATCCTCTGTCTATCTCTGTCTCTCTGTTCCTGTCTGTCTCTCTGTTGTCTGTCTCTGTCTATCCTCTGTCTTTATCTCTCTTTCTCTCCCTGTCTCTGTCGTTCTCTGTTTCTGTCTATCTCTCTGTCTTTGTTTTGTCTCTCTCTGTCTGATCTCTGTCTAACAGCCTCCTGAATCTTGGGCTGTGGAGCACTGTTAAGAGCTAACCCAAGATGGTGCCTGGTGCCCGCCCAGCACGCAGCAGGTACCCCATAAACTGCCACTGGATGGTTTTGCTGGAGAGGCGTTGGAGCAGAGACCCACACCCCTCCACTCTCCACACCCCCTCCCACTCTCCTCCCACTGTCCTCTCTCCTTCCATGGCACTGCTGGCAGGTCCCACCCTCACCTGTGCTCCTGCCGTCCCTCCTCCCTGAGTGCCTCCCCTTCCCGGCGGCGCTGGCTGTGCTGGTCCTTCGAGGTTCAGCTCGGATCTGAATCGCCCCCAGCCTGTTGTGGCTCCCCACCTTCGTAAGCTCAGCAGCAGCAGGAACTGTTCACACCTTCCTTATCCTGAGCGAGTGCCTGGACAGGGCTGGGCACGGAGCAGGTACCCAGACAGTTCCCTCTTTGTAGCTTGTTTGTTTGGCTTAATTAATATACTGACACAAACGGTTATGTGTTCAGCTGCTAACCAGAAGGTTGGTGGTTCAAACCCACCCAGTAGCTCCACGGGAGAAACACCTGGCTTCCTTAAAGATTACAGCCTAGAAACCCTGTGGGACAGTTCTACTCTGTCACATGGAGTTGCTGTGAGTCAGAATAGACTACACCGCACCTAGCAACAGCAACATTTTTTAGAGAAGTTTTAGGTTTATGGAAAAATTGCACATACAGTACAAAATTCCCGTATACCCGCCGCCCCTGCACAGTCTCTGCTCTTATTAGCATTTTACATTCCTCAGTACTTTGTTACAATTAATGAACCTCTTGTTTTTTATTTTTTTGTTTTTTATTTTGGAGAAGTGACTTTAACTGTGTTCACCATGTTGTGCAGCCATCACCACTATCCATTTCTGGATTTTTTTTTATCACTTTTAATGGAATCTCAGTAGCCCTTAAGCAGTGCCTGCCTGTTTCCCCTGATGAGCCTGTACTGATGTATTGTTATTAACTAAAGTTCATAATTTGTGTTAGAGTTCACTCTGTGTTGTGGGTTTTGACAAACGCGTAATGTCATCTGTCTGCCATTACAGTGTCATGTAAACTATCATTAGAGAATAGTTTCATTGCCCTAAAAATGCCCTGTACTCCGCCTGTTCATGTCTCTCCCTTCCTTCTTCCCTCCCTCTTTCCTGGCGACCACACTAATCTGTCTCTACACTTTTACCCTTTCCAGAATCTTGTATAGTTGTTTTCACACAGTATGCAGCTTTTTCACAATTGGCTTCCTTCAAACGGCAATTGCATTAAGGTCCTTCCATATCTTTCCGTGGCTTGATAGCTCATTCCTTTTTATTGTTGTTCAGTGCTGGGGAGTCAGTTCCGATTCACAGCGACCCTGTGTACAACAGAACAAAACACCACCCAGTTGGTGCCATCCTCACAGTCATTGCTGTGTTTGAGCCCATTGTTGCAGCCACTTTGTCAATACCTCACTGAGGGTCTTCCTCTTTTCTGCTGACCCTCTACTTTACCAGGCATGATGTCCTTCTCCAGGGACTGGTCCCTCCTGATAATATGTCCAAAGTATGTGAGATGAAATCTTGCCATTTTCGCTTCTAAGGAACATTCTGGCTGCACTTCTTCCAAGACGGATTTGTTCGTTCTTCTGGCAGTCCGTGGTATATTCAGTATTCTTTGTCAGCACCATAATTCAAAGGCATCAATTTGTCTTTGGTCCTTATTCATTGTCCAGCTCTCATATGCATATGAGGTGATTGAAAATACCATGGCTTGGATCAGGTGCACCTAAGTCCTCGAAGTGACATCTTCACTTTTCTACACTTTCAAGAGGTCTTTTGCAGCAGATTTGCCCCATGCAATATGTCCTTTTATTTCTTGACTGCCACTTCCATGGGTGTTGATTGTGGATCCAAGTAAAATGAAACCCTTAACAACTTAACATTTTCTTCATTTATCATGATATTGCTTATTGGTCCAGTTGTGAGGGCTTTTGTTTTCTTTATGTTGAGGTGTAATCCATACTGAAGGCTGTAGTCTTTGATCTTCATCAGTAAGTATTTCAAGTCCTCTTCGCTTTTAGCAAGCAAAATTGTGTCTTCTGCTTATCGAACGTTATTAATGAGTCTTCCACCAATCCTGATGCCCCATTCTTCTTCATGTAGTCCAGCTTCTCGGATTATTTGCTCAGCACACAGATTGAGTAGGTATAATGAAAGGATACGATGCTGACGCACACCTTTTCTGGTTTTAAACTACTCAGTATCCTCTTGTTCTGTTCAAACGACTGCCTCTTGGTCTATGTACAAGTTCTCCATGAGCACAGTTAAATGTTCTGGAACTCCCATTCTTCACAATGTTATCCATAATTTGTTATGATCCATGGTTGAATGCCTTTGCTTAGTCAATGAAACACAGGTAAACTTTCTGGTATTCTCTACTTTCAGCCAAGATCCATCTGACGTGAGCAATGATATCCACATCCTCTTCTGAATCTGGTTTGAATTTCTGGCAGTTCCCTGTTGATGTATTGCTACAACTGCGTTTGAATTATCTTCACCAAAATTTTACTTGTATGTGATATTAATGATATTGTTCGATACTTTCCACATTCTGTTGGATCACCTTTCTTTGGAATGGGCACAAATATGGATCTCTTCCAGTGAGTCGGCCAAGTAGCTGTCTTCCAGGTTTCTTGGCATAGATAAGTGAGTGCTTCTAGTGTTCATCTGTTTGTGGAAATATCTCAACTGGTATTCCATCAATTCCTGGAGCCTTGTTTTTTGCCAATACCTTCGGTGTAGCTTGGACTTCTTCCTTCAGTACCATAAGTTCTTGATCGTACGCTACCTCCTGAAATGGCTGAACATCGACCAATTCTTCATGGTACAGTAGCTGTGTTGTATATTCCTTTCATCTTCTTTTGATGCTTCCTACGGTGTTCAATATTTTGCCCATAAAATACTTCAGTATTGCAACTTGAGGCTTGAATTTTTTCTTTAGTTCTTTCAGCTTGAGAAATGCTAAGTGTATTCTTCCCTTTTGTTTTTCTAACTCCATGTCTTTGCACATTTTTTTATAATACTTTCCTTTGTCTTCCTGAGCTACCCTTTGAAATCTTCTGTTCATCTCTTTTTCGTAATCATTTCTTCCGTTTTCTTTAGCTATTACCTTCAAGAACAAGTTTCAGAGTCTCTTCTGACATCCATTTTGGTCTTTTCTTTCCTTCCTGTCTTTTTAGTCACCTTTTGCTTTCTTCATGTATGATGTCCTTGTTGTCATTCCACGGCTCGTCTGGTCTCTGCTCATTAGTGTT